GAAACCCACACGAGGTCGCCGGCGCGGAATGGACAAGGAAGACGCTGGCGATTGGCCTGCTGGCTCATGCGTTGCTGCGTCTTTGCCATCTGATTGCGTGCCTTGACAAGAAGCTCTTGCATCCGACGCAAGAAAAGGAGATGGTCGTCGCTCTCGGTCGTGCGTGGAACGATGGTGTCCAACGGAGAAGTGACCGGAGAGCCATGCTCAAACTCGAAAGGCGACATCCCAATAGTCGGGTGGATGGACGAATTGTAGGCCAATTCGACATCCGGCAGCCGCTCAACCCAATCCTTCTGATCAGGACGGATGAGAGTGCGAAGGAGAACCTGTGCCGTCTGGTGCGCCCTCTCCGTCTGGTCATCCGTCAAAGGTGGCGAGCTGAACTAGGCTTGAGAGATGAGCCCCATCATTTGGTGAGCGCCAACCAAAAATCAGACATGAACCGAGTGTCGCCGTCGCAGACGATTTCCTTGGGGTAACCCTTGGTTCGAATCCAACCGGCGTAGAGAATCTCGGCCAACTCTGGTGCCTTGGCATGATAGCGACAAGGCAAAAACATGGCAAACTTGGTGAGTCGATCGACTACTGTGAGAATCCCATCCACACCGGTCTTGTGCTTGGGGAATGACCCAGTGATATCCATGTCAATCGCCTCGCGTCGGCGCAAGGGAACCGGTAGTGGTCGCAACTCGCCATACGGACGATGATTGCGGGATTTGCAACATCGGCGAATCTCGCATGACTCGCAGTAGCGTGTGACGTCGTCGAGAAGATCGGACCACCAAAATCGCTCGCGAAGTCGGGCAATCGTTCGATTGATGCCAAAATGTTCGGTGGCGGGAGCATCGTGGAACTCGCCAAGAAGCCATGTACGCAAGTGAGGGTCACTCGGTACGCAAAGAAGATCCTTCCCTCGCGAGTGGACAAGCAAATATCCCTCCTGGATCCGATAGCGAGAAGGTGCCGGATTGGGCGAGGAACAATTTGCGTACTTGTTGCGAAACTCGGGGTCGGCCTGGTAGCGGCGGATAAAATTGTCCCGCAAGTCGTTATCAATCTCGAAAGTCGAGTAGACGGCAGTGCAATGGTCCGGACGTCGTGAAAGAGCATCCGCAAAACGGTTTGACTTGCCCGGAATGTGATCGGGGAAGAAGTCAAACTGGTCAATGAAGGCCATCCACCGGGCAATGGTGCTGTTGACTGTGTCCTGGGTCTTGTAAAAGATCAATGGATTGTTGTCCGTTACCCATCGGAACTGCCGTCTACCAAGAAGGAAATGCCGCCAGCGCTTGAGTGTGTGTACGAAGGCCAATAATTCCTTCTTCCTCGCGTCATCAATAGAGTGCACGGCGGGCACCTTCTTGCTGAAATACTCGACCGGGTGCCAGTCCACGCCATCGTGTTGCTCGAGGATAGCGCCAATACCATAGCCGGACGCATCAGTAGTGACGCGTGTGGGCAATAGCGGGTCGTAGATTCGCAAGACCTCCGCTGACAAAAGTGCAGCTTTGAGAGCCAAGAAAGATTCTCGCGCATCCTCGTCGAAGTCAAATGGCCGATCCTCGCATTGAAGCTTGGTCACGTGGGCCGCGATCTTCGAATAGCCCTTGATGAAGAGTTGATAGTAGCCGGCAAGACCAAGAAACGAACGGACATCCGTGACGTTACGCGGCTCCGGCCACTCCTGGATGGCTTGAATTTTCTCCGATAGCGGGCTGATGCCCTCTAGTGTGACAAAATGGCCAATGTACTCAAGCTCTTGCCGGACAAACTCGCACTTGTCCCGGTTGGCTTGGTACTTGGCACGGCGGAGCGTCTCCAACACACGTCAAAGATGCTCAAGATGGTCCTCCAGAGTCCGGCTGTAGACGAGAATGTCGTCTAGGTAGACCAGCACGAACCGATCCAACATAGCACGAAACTCGTGGGTCATGGCCGCCTGGAAGGTTGTCGGGGCATTGGTGAGGCCAAAAGGCATAACCACCCACTCAAAATGCCCATACCGCGTCTTGAATTCGGTCTTGTAGCAATCATTCGGGCGTATCGAAATCTAATGATACCCCGACTTCAAGTCCAACTTGGAAAAGAACTTAGCACCGCCCAGTCGCTCAAGAAGATCGTCAATACGAGGAAGAGGCCCCGCATTTTTCACAGTTTGCGCGTTGAGCTTGCGGTAGTCGATGCACAGACGTAGATCCTTGTTCTTCTTCCTTACGAAGAGAACTGGTGCTCCATATGGGGAGCTGCTGGGCGGATCCAGCCCTTGGCCAACAAGTCGTCGAGTTGTGCTCGAAGGACCTCCAGTTCCTCCTCGCTCATCCAATAGATGCAACCTTTCGGCGGCACGGCACCGGCCTCAAGAATGATCTCGTGAGAGATTGGCCGATCCGGCACCACACCGGTAGGTGACTCGAAGATGTCGGCGAACTCATCAAGCAGCCGTACCACGCGGTGGTCCGAAGACAAGTCCGATGGTGAAGAGTCGGCTACCGCGCTAGTCCGCAAGAAACATAGGCCTATCTCTTCAGGTTGCTCATATGCACATGTAGTTCGGAATGATTTGTCCGTCACAACTTGGCGTCGGATCGAAGGGTGCGGAAGAGGAATAGTACACGGCACCTCGGCGCCGAAGGCGTCGCGAACGGTGAGAGTCCGCTGGTGAAAGTTGATCGTGTGATCCGCACTTGCAAGCCAAGGCATCCCCTGAATCATATCGAAGTCTGTGTCCAAGATGTCGAACGTGACCGGTTCGCATGCATGAGGTGCGAAGTACACCGGTACGGCCTCGATGTAATAGTCGAGAAGTTGTTGCGTCTTTCCATCCGCCAACTTGATCGCCGTCGGGTTTGCCTTCCTCCGAACCTGTGTGCCGAGGCCAGCCCTTTGCATAAAAGCTTGGCTCATCGCGCTGCTATCCAGCAAAGCGCTGCAGGACGTCTGCCCAACGTGGATGCGGACATACATCAGCGGTGCATTATTGTCGTCGTACCGCTGCGTGCGAAACTCACGGGCCACCTTGGTAACATATGCCAAGATGTCCCCCACCGCGACCTCGTCATCCGTCGGCGAAGTTGGTGGTGCATAGAAGGACAAGTACTTGTGAAGATGGACACAGAGTGCTGCGCATTGCGGTCCCGGTAAGCGTCCTGTGGTCGGGAGAGGAAGCCATGCGAAATCCCCAGACTTAAGCGGGTCCAATTCCTCTATGTTGAACCCGCATGCCGAATCCCGTGAAGAACCACTTGAAGACGAAGAAGAACCGTTGCCGGACGGAGAAGATGCCGCACACACGTCTTGTCCTTGAGCAAAAGATCCTAGCGCCGGAACGAGTCGGGCAGCATAGTCCTCAAAAGAATAGAGAAGAGGACTGTCGACTTCCGCATGCGCCCCGGAATGAAGGCCGGTCACTCGCGAAGAAACCGGTTCCGAAGGTGTCGAGAGTGTCGTCGACTCACTCTCGACGGCGCTCAGTCTCCCTGCTTGCCCTTCCCCTTGGTAGGGCAGCCCGCTGTCTCGTGGCAGTCGCTGTTGCACCACAGGCAGTAACGGTACTTCGTGCGTTGCTTGTAAGCTTGCTCCAAAAGACCGTAGGGGGTCCAGGGCCCCTGAGCTGCTGCGCCAGACCCGGGGTTTGATGTGGTGTTTGTCTTCGATTTGCCGCGTCCTCGGCCTCGGCCGGGGCGGCCACCATCCCGAGCAGCTGCGAGTCTGTCTCCTTCATTGGCAGACTCCGCCTCGCTAGATTGGCTGCTTGGCGATGCCGCCGCAACCACGGTCACCTTGGGCCGATGCTGGTCCTTGCTCGGGCCTGCCGCAGCACGAGTGAGGTTCTTCGCCTCCTTGTTCGTGATGATAATCCATGCGGCCTTGTTGAACAGTTGCGCCGTCGTTGTCAGTGTGTGCTCTACATGCGTCAAGGCGTTGCTCAACGCCGGGCACGACCTCGAAATGAAGTAGTGCTTGATGGCTTTGAAGCCCATCGGGAGACCTGAGACGGATGTCAAGCGTTGGTACTCAGCAATCCAGTCGACGCTTGGCAGCGAGCCTTGCTCGAAGGTCATGAGCTTGTCCATGGCCTTGATCTCCGGCGGCTCCACTAGGAACCGCTTGTGCCACGCCGCCTTGAGGTCTTCCTAGTTGATCTTCGTGTGTAACTCGGCAGCGACCACCCCGTACTAGGACAAGAGATTGTCCAGCCATGCCTGGCATGCGCCTCCCGACCGGGAGTATAAGTACGCGTGGTGCTTGCACTCGCTGACGAGGTGCAGCTGCAACGTGAGTTCAAACTTGCGGAACCACTGAACTGAATCCGTCTTTGTTGAATCGCAGAAGATCTCCTGACCGTCAAACTTGGGAGTTGACTCGCGCTGTCCCGAACTCCGGCTGGCGGCGGCAGCAAAGACCCGCTGCTCCAATTGTTGAGTAGTGGTTTGTTGTAGTCGTGCGCCGTCCTTGAGTGTGCTGACGTCAGTCTCCAATGCGTCCAGGCGGTCTGATGTGTTGGAGGAGCTTGCCACAGGGGCGGCGGCTGGTCGTTGCTCCAGCTGCTGTACGCGGCTGCGAACACTCTTGACTTCGGCATCGAGGCTGTGAATGTCCTCCTGTTGCGCGATGCATGTCGCCAAGAGGTCCGTGAGATGGGAGAGGAGGAGGGCAATCTTGGTCTCGCTCTCCTCCATCTTCCCTGTCTCCGCCTCAGTTCGCCATTCCGCTGCCAATGTGAGTAATGCTTGTTCCCCGCTGAAAATCTTCTCACGCCGCTTCAATCGTTTTTCATCTACAGCCTTCGCTGCTGCCTCGGCCTGCAGACGCTGCTGTTCAAGAGCTAGCAGTCGTGCCTGCTCCGCATCCTCCACCTTCTTCTTCTCTGCAGCTGCTACTGCATCCGCCCGCTGCTTGGCTTCTATGATAAAAGCCAGCATGCGGTCCTGATATGCCTCCGCCGTTTCCCCCGGTTTCTGGTCCATGACGGCTGTCTGCGAGCGCGTCAGCATAAACAGGCCCGGGTGGCTGACGTGGCACTCCCTGTTGACGTGGCCTGCTGATGTGGTCCGCTGATGTGGTCTGCTGATGTGGTCTGCTGACGTGGTCTGCTGACGTGGTCTGCTAACGTGGCCCGCTGACGTGGCAACTTACCAATGCCACCACAAGGAATACCCGGAATGGATGAAGAAGATGAGATCAGAGATGGCAAACAACGTAGATAGGGAGGGTGGGT